ACGAGAAAATAAAAAAATACGTGTCTAATATTTTTTTCATTATCTAACTGACGGACTAGTTATAGTCGACCAATCAATGAAGCAATCATATGATACATACAAATTATGATTAGCATATCACATAATATACATTATCAGTAGAGACAACACTATGTACCCATATATAGACGCACCCTGTACATGTGAGACACCGTGGGAAGGGACGAGTTATCTCAACAGTTATGCAAAGACGGAAAACTGTATTTAAACTTTTATTTACAATTGTTTTTAGTGTTCCTTTGTAAGTTTGTGGTTTTTTAACCGTCTGTGTTAATTTATGGTTATTGGACCTTCAATTATTTTATGATGAATTTACTTAAGTAATGTTGGGATAGCTATCGTTCTATCTATAAAATTACAAGTGTGACGACTGACTCGGGAAATATCGAAAAAACTTGTAATTCGACTGCACGGTTGGCGCGGTGTTCGGGCAACTGACTGCCGCGCAACGTGTCGCAGGTTCGATTCCCGCACGGTACAACTATTTGTGTGATCCACACAGATTGTTGTTCCGGGTCTGGGTGGCATGTGTATGTGAACTTGTATGTTTGTAAACGCACCCACGACACAGGAGAAAAACCTAGTGTCAACGTCTTTAATAAAAATAATATTAAAAGTTTTAGGTATGCACATGAGAATGTTTTTTTCATCATTCATCTACCTTATCATCAGGTTTTGTTAATTTATAGTTATCTTTATTTCATGGAACTTTGTCCAACTTTAAGGTAATTAACTTTATTGTAAATACTCTTACAAATATGTATTTTAATTGTAGTATTTGTATTACAAAATCAATTTTATCCATCCAATACAAAAGACTTAAACGCGCGATCACAGTAATCATAAGTTACATTAACTGTTATTAAATAGTCGCTGCATTTTTACTATCACTATAGCTAACATAATAAATAACCAGAGAACCTAACGGGTAACAGGGGCTCCGGCTCGACGTGCAGGAGAAGGAACGGGGTGGTTTTTAGTCAGTAAGAGTCTGACACTCCCTCCCGCCTCACCCAGGCAGGAGCAGTCATTCGATGATTTTCCCCTCTTAAAAAAAAGGGTTTATGAATTACGTCTGTCCATCTTGTAAGGTTAATTAACTAAGATGTGGGTGTTTTAGATAATTACTATGTAACTATGAATATTATTTAAACACATAAATGTAAAAGCATATTAAAATAGAGGTAGAAATGATTATAATTTAAGTACAATATTAAAATTAAGTTATGGCGACACTGATATGATTTGTTAACTTTTTAAAGCGAAGTGAAATGTAAGGCATTCTTATTTTGATAGTCGAATCGAACACTTGTCTTATAATAAATCGTTATAACGTTGGAATCTCTGTTTAATTTCTTCAACAAAGAGTGGACCCTTTAATTTCTAATCAATGTTCAATATCTTTGTTGTATATGTAGGTATGTATGTTTGAAAAAATACACAATAATTCTTTGAACAAAATATTATGCTTTCGGCTTATTCACGTAACTTTTTGACGTCGACTTGTTTCAAGCCATGCTAGAGGCTCATGTTCATGAGCAGCATTCGCGCGGGAACAGTCTGCTCGACTCTGCGGCGGTGAATTTAGTTTTAATCATCACGAAGGTTTTAATACAAATAATTATTTAAATAAATAAAATGTTAAGAAGTAATAAGCTCAGTTACATATTTATCACTAGCTGAGGCGTGACTTCGTCCGCGTGGAATAATGATTCACACCTCCTCCCCCGTAGTTGATAGCATGATAATATTAGATTTATATTAACCCGACCTGTTAGTAATATTCATGCAAAATTTTAAGTGTATTCTTGCAGCAGTTTTTGAGTTCATCCTGGACATACATACAGACAAACAGACAAAAATTTTAAAAATCATATTTTTGCTTTCGGTGTCGACTGTAGATCACACCCAAAGCATTCTTTTATAAAAATAATCTTTTTTTTTTAAAACGTTGCTCCACACTAGAATTATCTCCTGTGTCGTGGGTGCGTTTACAAACATACAAGTTCACATACACATGACACCCAGATCCGAAACAACAATTTGTGGATCGCACAAAGTGTTGTTCCGTGCGGGAATCGAACCCGCGACACGTTGCACGGCAGCCGGTTGCCCAGCCACCGCACCAACCGTGCAGTCAAACAGACGATCTTACAGTTTTCACTTTCCTAAGATTTTATTATATGTATAGTTGGGATTTCTATCGATTGCTACATTTCTTCATTCTTGTTTCCTATATAGACATAACATAACATCACGCCTGCTACTCCCGAAGGGGTAGGCAGAGGTGCACACAGAAGTAACACCCACTTTTCACTATTTATGTTATGAGTCCCATGTAGGTAAATATAGGGGGTGAGCCTATTGCCATATACCGGGCACATTTCCAGACTCCGTGCTACTATTGAGATTTTTTTTAAACCCAGTAATCCCATATAGAATCCTCACATAAAAACATCAACTCACTCTTGACCATACAAAATTAAGAACATACACTACAATGATAAGGAATGTTTGTCCACAGCTAAATAGTCGTGTTAGCCTCGCCCTTAAACTATGTACTAACCAAACAAAGACGAAATTAAATATTACATACCATGCGCCCTATTTGTAGTTCTTTTGTTTCATTTTCTTGGGTAAAAAGGACCAAATTGATGGGAGAAAGTTTAGTCGTAAGGATTTTTCTTATATCTGGTATTTAAACTGACGAAATTAAATAATTCAAGTATAACAGAACTATGCTTCGGCACGAATGGGCCGGCTCGACCGGAGTGATACCACGGCCTAACAGTAAACCGACGTGAAGCAACGCTTGCGTTGTGTTACGTTGTGTGAGTGAGGTTACCGGAGTTTACCTCTAAATTTCCAACAATCTTTAATTCCTAATACCCAAAAAAGGCCGTTAACGCATTTGTAACGCCTCTGGTGTTCTGTTCTGAGTGTCTATGGGCGACGTCGATTGCTTACCTTCGCGTGAGCCGTATGCTCGCTTACCGGCTTCTTCCGTAAAAAAAATAACAGGGTAACATATTTTGTTTCCACTTACCTGTTAAAACAAAACTAGAACTAACAGCCAATTTGTCTATAGGGTTTTAGTGCATTTAATATATTTATTTTTTTTTAAATCCAATTAATATATTTTTTTTTAAATCTCGTTCCTTAACAAAACTTTATTTTATCACAAATCACAAAAAAACAGGCCAAAAAGAAAAAGGAATAAAATGTTACATGTTCCATTTTTAAATATCAATCTGGTCAAAGATCAAGTAATAAATGTTAACAGACACGACGGGGTAAAACCGAAACGTTGACATATAACACATACTTACATAGATGTAAAAAACACGTGCGTATTTTATCAGTGTCGATCGGGCGACAGTCGCGTACATCAGATTCGTCAAGTACCTACGTGAGACCACAATTTTATTTAATCTATGACACTTCCTGTCATGCCTCATCTAGTTCTATGATTTGTATTTTATTTTTTTGGAGCTCTATAGTTTTATGGCTGTTCTGTCACGATTTTATCTTTTTTTGTAAAAGTTTATTTTTATATATTGTTACTTAGTTACATTGTTTTTAGACACAATTTAGAAAAACGCTATACATTACAATAAATGCGTTTGGTTTATGCTAACGCGTAAATAGAGAATTATACGAAAATTAATCACTAAATACAAAGAAAGAATTCACTGTGAAAATGGTTATAAGCCAAGTTTATTCATATAATGAAAGATATACAAAATAAAAAAGGAATTCATTACACCTGCATACCATAGTCTTCAGAAACTCCACCGCACACCAACAGCAACCGTTCGAAAAATAATAAAACACTTCCATATTAAATTTCGAAACTCCGTAAAATTCCACACAGCGCCAGCGTTCCAACGAGAACAATTCACTGGCACGCAGGGCGAATCTCATAACTTTTCCACCCAGACTTAATTATGAAATCGTTCCAAACATTATTGGAATATTAGCTACCGACGAAGCGAACAAATTGTTTTATCCAAAAACTATTTGAATAACGCGATACCATCAGTAGCAACTATAGAATGAATAGATTCACAAATAAATTAATAAATGTGACTTTAATTATGAGAATAGACCAATTAGTGAGACATGGTAGTGTGACGTGTTTAATATTATTGTATTACTAGCTGTTGTCCACGACCTCGTCCGCGTAGAATAAAAATTTATAACATAACTTTTTTTGTTCCAATTTTTCAAAAGAAAAGTAGCCTATGTTACTCTTTAGTACAACAGCTACCCGCCAACAAATGTCTTGCAAAATCGGTTCAGCCATTACTGAGACTAGCCAGTACAAACAGACAGACAGACAAAAATGTTATATTGGTACTTACGTGTATCGTGTGTATATTCACACGCATTTAAATAACCGTTATTTAATACAAAAAGACACTCTAATTTTATTTATCTGTATATATGTGTGATTAATTTATGTTAAAGTTGTCATTTCGTATAATTAGATGGTTATTTATTTGTTCCTATTTTTGTTATAAAGGCCTTAAACACGACTAAGGTACATAAGCCTTATTAGGCTTACCTTATTTCAAACCTTGTATAATCTTGTAGATAATTAAAGTAGAGAAGAAACATATTGGAGGTTGTAATGTATTTATTTGATAATCAAGATATCGAAAAAAGTAATCATAACTGCATATTTTTTAAGTGGCCCGTCTCAGAAAGCGGACCATCTTTGGCAAACATACCTTATATAGAGTTTTAAGTTTTAAATACCTGTCTTAAGTGCGATTACCTAAACTATTGGGTTTCAATTTTAGTCTGTTAAAAATTTTTGGAACATTAGTATCATTAACAAATAACCGGACAGGAACAAAATGACCAACCAAAACAAGCCATTATTACGTAACCAATATGGTTGATTTTAAACCTTCATCTTTTCAAAGGTACTAAAACAATACCATTGCACATTACAGTTCCCGAGACAACATGCTGCCAACACACGTGAAGTTGAGCTCATCGCTCACCTGTCGGCTCGTGGGCGGATTGACCAGAGAACAAAGATCCGTCTGCCACCAAGCACCCGATACTGTCGCCATAGCCTTCGAAGGTCTACAATTAGCGGTCAAGGAATGCCAGCATCAGTTCCGTTGGCACAGGTGGAACTGTTCCAGCCTTATGACCAAGAGCAGTAATCCTCATAGCAGTTCTATTATGAAAAGAGGTGAGTTGTAATATGCCATTTGTCTGTGAACATAAGGTCTATTTTGGTATGGTCCAATTCATTGTTATGCGATTATTTGGCAAACTACTATACGAAATTGTTTTAAAAAATACTGTTTGCGAATAGTATTGTTTCTCTTTTACTAAACTCTTGTGTTTTACCATGAATAAGTTGAATACTATGGCCTGGGACAGATTTATGTAAAACTAAGAAGAAAGGAGTCCCATAAACAAATCAAGGCGACATCATTTGATTATCTTGTCACAGTAACAAAAGACAAACGATCCCCCTTGAAACGATAGCAGCGCCAATGAAAACTTCAAGAAGCACAGTAAACATCTTTATTTATTAACCTTTTGTCGTATAAGGACCAATAACATCATAAGATTATTTTCGAAAACGTAGGTGGTAGCAATCATTGTCAATTAATGCCAAAACCAGTCCCACGTTAACGTAATACCATAATACTCTTTTTATATAGGTATATTAAAATAAACGCAACTAAAAATTTCAAACCAATCGCGATCAACCATTACAATCCGAATTTATTACGACGAAAAATTATTCACGCACATTAAGAGGCCATCGGTGAACGGACATCTCCACGTATTATGCTCTTAATATACGTATTTACTGAATCGTCCGTCTTTATGTCTATCTCCGGGTGTGAAAAGGCTTTGTCGACCTCGTTTTTTCCACAATCATCGCACACGTTGACGTGAAAATTTACGACCATGGAAGATGGGAGACAACAAATAATAAGTTGGTGGTGGCCAGGTGGGGCTCGCACCCGCGCCCCGCGATTTCACGCTACGTGTGGGTCCCGCCAGCCGGGCCCCCGCTCCACCGCCACTCCCGCCTCGTCCCTCTAGCCTCAACCAATTAATATCTTAACTGGAATTGCCTGGACTCGAGTACCAACGGAGTTACTCAATTTTCTCCACGCCCTTTTATTGCTGTGCGCTTTTTAATAACGGTTCGGAATTCTTCATTTAACTCTATAAGCGTAGATTGGATAATACACAATTTCACAATGAAGTAGAAACATTCACATATCAACCGTAATTGAGTATTTAGTGAAAGATTAAACTTAAGAATGTTATTCAGTCCATTGTATCGTCGACATTATTAGTATTTGTAATACCCGTAACGACACCTTCCGGCCCTCCAGCGACACGACTGTGTTTAAATTGAAAAATTGTGAAAAAAGCAGCGTAACTAAACACTTAAACATCTTTCTTAACGTGGCCATTGTTGGGATCCCGAATTGAAACGCCGACAGGAGAGTGAAACGAAAAAAAGTGAAGAACAAATCGAGATGCTTTTAAATAGGATAATAGCGATCGATGATCGGAGAAGAAAGATAATAATGATTCCGGACCGTTGGCTTTTTTGTCCAAACGTGTAGGATCGATGAAAGAGCGCAGTGGACGGATGGCATTCTGGATAGATCACGGGATTTGTTCCGCTTCCCCGAGATCTTCCACACGTTGTTAGCGCTCTTGTACGTGACGCTGTTACAATATACTGTCAAATATTTAATGACTTTTGTGGGGCTAATGAGCCTATTGTCGGAAAAGTTTTCACCTCGGCCATTAATAGTTGGATGGTAGGTGAGATTAGCGTGAGATGTGTGGGTCGGCGCGTCGGATGTCGGCGGAGTCGCGTGAGAGAATGGCGCGCGTCGGGGCACACAGGGTGGCGAACATGCATCGATACAAATCTGACGGCGCGAGCGCACGTGACGTGAATTCATGACGCGAATGTGTCATAAAAAAGTGACATTTATTGGCGTTTTATATCAACAACATGTCGTCAGGTGACGAAGTGCCGACGACAATGTGGTTATGATGTTGCAAAAACACGATGCGTTGTTACGTCTTATCTGACGGCGTGTCGTGGGAACTTAGTCTGCGAGGCGAGATGACTTTATTAAAAGAGAATCAGCCAATTTTTTATGAGTCTCTGTCATGTTAATAATTGTGAGACGAAATATCGCGCTTTGAGTGAGACGTCAAAAATGTGCGGCTATAATTTGCGGTTGCGCCGAGTCCGGTATGTCAAGTCGAGTATCAATAAAGCGCCATCATTGACCTAAAATAACATCTCTTAAAAGGATTTTAAACAAAAACTTGGACGTGTCGAAATGTCTCAATGCGCTGTAGCTCAACCCTCTAATGGTCGCGATAACATCTTCCTCGGTGCGTTACCGAATCGTGCTCCTTCAGATGCCTCACAACTGTGAGAAAAAACACACAAAAGGCTCATAAAAACATGAATTTGTCCAAAGTTCCCAGTTTTAGACGTGACATCGAGTGGGCTTTTTGTTTGGTTCTTTTTGTTCCCTGTCGGATTATGGGCTCGCTTTTAAGGGTTAATTAAGTCAAGAAGAGTATTAGTGATCTTGCGGAAATTTCAAACATGATGTGGGATGATGATGATTCATCGGAACCAATACAATCATGTTGATATTAGCTTGATGAACAATCTGATTGAATTACAAACGTGTTTCATTCTTATTTTATTTTATTCATCGACTGACATGATTTTAATCTACCAATATAATGTAAGTGACTGTCGACTGTTAGTGACTCACAGCACTTTAACCAGATTCAGTCACTTCAGACATTCCCAGTATTTTTTTTTTCTACATAATACTGTCTTGCACAAACCAGAACTTAGAGGTATATTACAAAAGGATGTGCCTATTTACGTCATAGAGGTATTTAAATGAAGCTCCTACGTGTGTCATGGAATGTAAGCATTGTACTACTTTTATTGGCTAATTAATCTCTATATATTACGAAATCAGGTGCAGGTGTTCCAAGTGTCCATGGGCGACACCGATTGCTTACCATCAGGTGATCCGTCTGCTCGATTGCCTGCTTATTATGCCATAAAAAAAATTCCTTACCACATCCTAAAATTGTCAAATATTTTAAGTTTAGAGCTTGGAATTCCTAAATTATTGAATGAATGGAAATTGGCTCATCAGAATCTAAAAATATATCTAGAAAATACACAATTTTATTTTGTTCAACAGAAAGACAATACCGGTCAATGAAAAGCTCATCAAACGATCTAGTAACATAAACAACATAAAAAAAACAATAAAATCGTGACGTCACACCAATTTGTATATCGAACCAAATCTAATTGCAGCACGTGCGAGCCCTACGGATCGTAAATTAGTCTTAGTGACGTCACAACCGCCTTACCGTCTGGTTTTGGTAATTAGCAATTCGCAACAGAGGCCAAAAGGTACCAAACGGGGCTTAATTGGTACCAAAAGGCTTAATTGGTACCAAAACCCTTGCAGCGTCGAATATCTAGAGGACTTAGGCAGTCTACACACGGAACGTAGCGGTCATCGGACTTCAGTTTTTAATAAAAAAGGGGCCTACAATGATGTGTTGCGTTTTATATGAAGTTGTGAGACTAAAAACTTGATATGAATTTTACTTTAAGTGTCTTCATTTGTAGTGACGTCGAATTGTTTGTATCGCCCTGTCTTTGTAAGTATCACTGTAGATCACAAAATCTGTAATTCTATATGTAGACCAATGTATATTGGGCCTCCAGTATCCTCACTCACACGACGAAACACATAACCTACAATCAATTCTTTACAAAATAATCTTTAAGATAGACATAAGTAAGTTTTAAGTACACTGTGGATTACTCGGTACCATAACTAAATACTATCGTAAAACCTAAAAAAGTTCTAATTTAATCCTGCGCGAAAGACAGAAAAGTTGTTACCACATTCCTTTACTTGAAGAGCCTTAGCCCAGCACTATTATTCCGAATGGTAATACAGTTCACATAAATAGACTATATTTACATAATGACCTTAAAAACTTCAATGATGGGCCCAATAGTAAATTTTAATTATTTCCATAAACGTTTGGTAAAAGAACACTATGAAAGAAAACTTAGTTATTGCTTCTCAGGATACTTCGGATTATGGGGCAGTTTTCTGCTAGTTATTTTGTTGCCATTATGATCTCATTATTTCTTTCTTGTATCCTTCCAGCTTTAAAGCATGCACTAAGGTTTATACTCAGTAGGACACTTACCTAGTGAACTTTTTATGCCTGCCGATCTACAGGGGGTGTGTGATTATAACAAACTATTTAATTTTCCATGTATCTTTTGAACAGAGGCCTCACAATTCGACCACCCTGTCATCCATATACAGAACGATAAAAACTTAAGTAATCATTACCAGTAATTGTATGAATAAATACGAAGTATTTCCAATAATTGACAAGTGAAAAACTCAATGGAGTTCATTCATTTTGGCGCCAGATTTATAAGCTATCCAGTTGGAAGCGAGAACCTACACTAAAAACTGTTTTAAAAATCACAAAGTGCACAATCGTAAATCACGCATGATGCGTGAGCATGCGCGTCGGCCGCGCAGCGCGCGCGCATCAAAAACAATGTTACACAACACGGAAAAAGACGACCACCGCCGACGCTGCTCGGAAAAACCTATCATTATGCGCATTCGATTAAATAAAATGTCCGCGTTCGTATACGCTTAAGAATCGGAAATGAAATAAAACGTTCAATGATAAAATTGAAATTTGTATTTACTTAGGCCGTTGATTTTTTGCAAGTCGGCGCCGCATCACCGTATATGGGACGAATGTAGATTTACCAATTTAATCCGTGGTTCGGGGAATCGAGGTGGCGCTGCGGTCGCGGCCGGCCGACGTGCGCTGTCCAACTGTCCTACTGATGGACAGGTATAAGTAATTAGGTCCAGAAGCGTTACTTGTTTTTGCTACGTTCACCAGCCGTCCAACTTTAAATCGCAAATGTGAATAAAACTGCTTCGATTTCAACATTGTATACCTACTTATGGGTAACACGAACGCTATTGGACAGATAAATTAATATTTAAATTGCAAATATTGGTCCCATATTAATTATACAGCAACAAATTATAAGAGGACAGAACTCGTTGTAGATCGAGTGTCGTAAATCGCCGA